GGTGTCTACCTGAGACTGTCAGTGGTTGGAAGACCAGGCCCGCGGCAGGTGCCTCCTAACCGGCGGGTAGCAGTAGTTGCACCTCCTCGGGGAGTTCAGGGGGTGGGGGCAACTCTTGGAGTTCCCGCCCAAATTCCGATGCTTGCCCTGTCGCGTCCCCACGCGTCTTCAGCCCGAGTCGCAGGCCCTGAGTTCGAATCCAGGCTGGCTGGCTTGGCTTTGCTCAGCTTTTATCCAAGAAATGATCAGTGAGCACTTCCTGGGAGCCCAGAAGCGGAGATGTTCAATTATCTGAATCCTCCAAAGGTCCCGCGAGAGACCAGCTGGGGAGGCGCACAGCACGGAGAGCATAGCACGTGCACAACCTGGGCAGCGAGGAACTTGGGTCCAGGAACTACAGGCCGGCGAGGCTGGTGTGGTTTTATCCACCTGATGGGGGACCCACAAGACGTTTTAGAAGAGGAAGGTCACTTTTCTCCTGGGGTGCTCAGAATGGCCCGAGTGCCCCAGGGAACAGGGCGTTGTGGGCAGGGCCAAGGCGCGCGGGGCAGGCAGAGGGCTTGGCGGTGGGGTGGGACGGCCGTCGAGATGCTGCGTCCCGACGCGCCCGCCCTCTGCCCGCAGGACCTGGAGACGCGCAACGCGGAGCTGGAGCACCAGTGCTGCGGCGACCGAGCGCAGCCTGGAGGAGCGGGCGAGCGGCGAGGCGCGCGGCCGAGGTGGGGGGCGGCGCAGCTGCTGGACGTGCGGCTGTTCGAGCTGAAGCGAGCTGCGAGAGGGCCTGGCCCGCCTGGCGAGGCCGCGCCCTGATCCGCGCCGCCACGGAGCAGGTCCGTGGACGATTCCCGCCCGCCCGCCGCGGGGCCCGGCCGCGGGCGGCAGGCGGCCGTCCGCCCGCCCGGCAGGGACTGGGTCCCCGCTCAAGCCCGGTGGGGCCGGCCTGGACACGCCTCCCAGCCGGGCAGGCTCCGCGATTTTTTTTAAGAGATGGGGTCTTGCTATGCTGTCCAGTCTGGCCTTGAACTCCTGGGCTCAATTTGATCCTCCTACCTTGGCCTCCCAAAGTACTGGGATTACAGGAGTGAGCCCCCACACCCGGCATTCTGGCTCATCACACTCGGCCTGCCTATTCCTCAAGGAGATAGAGGCCGGGGACCTGGCCTCGGCCCCCCAGCGCCCGGAGGAGGAGAAGACCTGGGCCCAGCCCTGTCCCTCCCTCCACCCGTCTCCGAGGCCCACCTGGGTCAGGTGCTGCTCGGAGGCAAAGCCGAGGCCGTAGACAGTGTTGGCCCGACTGTCCGCCCACTGCCCGAACTTCTGCGAGGTTTTGGTGAAGGTCATGTTGGGGGTGACGGTGCTGTTGATGATAGCCTGGGCCGGGGCGCGAGAAACAGAGTTCGAGGTTGACGGGACTGATCATAACAACGAACAGGAACCCCCCTGTATCACCTTGCAGTCAGCGGCTCGGAGCCCTGAGCCATTTCAGGAGAGGGAGAAACTGAGGCGCGGGGAGGCCCAGGGTTTCCCATCCCCTGGGGCCCACGGCAGCAGGGCTGGTGTCCCCGGGACCCCTGGTGCCCACGCCCCGCCCAGACGCCGCCCGGACCTTGGCGCCGCCGATGCTGATGATGCGGTAGACGTTGCGGGTGGCATCGTAGAAATAGGAGACGGTGAGTGCGTGCTTGCCCGCCGGGATCCAGTTCCGCTTGGTGGCCGGGTCGATCTGGAACACGTGCGCCCGCGTGCTGAAGATGGGCTGCTCCCTGCCAGGGCAGAGGGTGCTCAGGCGGAGGCGCCCGCGCAGGAGCGCAGAGCGGGCGGGGGGCGGGGCTGGGGCTCACCTGGCCGTGGACATTGGTCAGGCCGGGCTGGGAAGGCTCTAAGCGGCAGCCGGACGGGTGGCAGGAGCCGCCGGCTCGGCCCCTGGGGAGAGAGGAGGCCTGTGAGTGTCCCCCGGGCCTGGCTGAGCAAGGCCAGGCGTGTCCAGCCTCAGAACGCGCCGCCGGGCGCGCCCATCCGAAAGGCGAGGGAATTAGCACAGACCACTACGCGAGCCGCGGGACCCCGGCTTTCTCCCTGTGGGGGAAGCCCCGAAACACCCCGGGCGGGAGGACATGGCTCTCGGAGAGCACCCAAGTGCTCCCCCAAATTTTCGCTCCCAGCGAAAATTCTCACTGTGCGCGTTAAGGGACGCCAGGTGAAGCCCCCTCCGCCCTGGGCCGGGAAGGCCAAGGCCCACACTGCCCAGTTCGGCCACATTCACCCGTCGGGGCCCAGGGTGGGGCCCTCCGTCCAAAAGTGGGGCGTGCGCAGGTGCTTACTGGGAGACCAGTTCCCCGCTAAACTGGAGAGGAACCCCTCAGCCCCCCACCCTGGGGCAGGGGGACATCTTGGAGCCGGAGTCCAAATCCCTAGGGAGCCCCCCCCCAGTTGAAAAGACAAGATACAGCCACACAGCCACCCCCCCCAGTCCACCGTGGGGTGCAGGACAGAATCCAGGACTGGAAGACTGAGGCTCCCCACGTTGGGAGACTGTCCCCAACCTCCGAGCTGGTTCCCCTGGCCACCAACCCAGGAAGCCAGGAACGATGCTGGGAGGGGACTTCCTGATCCTCCCCCTGTACCCCAAAACCTGCCTCCAGGGGATCTGCAGGGGACCCAGGAGCTTGGGGGAGGGGAGGCCCCAGCCCAGCAGCCTCCGTGGTCAGAGGCGGGTGCCCCCCCCATCCTGTCCTGGGCAGCTGCAGTCCCGGTCACAGGGTCTGAAACCGGAGCCCCCGGGTGGAGGAGGGGCCGCAGGTCCGGCCTGGGTTGGGGGCGGGTCTGGGCCGCCGGGGTTGATCCCCGGAACCCAGGCCCTTCCGGTCCGGCCTGAGCGGCCGCGACTTGCGGCGTTGGGGAAAGTTACTCACCAACTAGTCATGCGCCTCGGACGCCACCGGGCGGGCGCGGGGCTCCCGGAGGGGGAGTCCGACACCACCCGGTGACAGGAATCCCCAATCAGGCCGGGGGGCGAGGCCCCATCCCACGCGCCCCACTTCAGGGGGGCCTGACGCGCATTCAGGATCCAGCCCTCACCCGCATCAGGACACACCAGTGCGCACCCCAACTTCGGGACGCGCGCCCCGGCCGTGGAACTTCCGAGATCCCCGCGATGACTCCCGACTCCGGGTCCAGAACTGCGGGGACCCCTCCTCTGCAAACCCCAGGTCCGTAACTTCGGGGACCCCCCTCCCGCGCTGCCACCTCTGGCCCCAGATCCAGAACTCTGGAGCCCCACCCCCGCTTGTACCCCGCTTGTACCCCACTCCTAAACTTCGAGGACCACCCCCCCAACACTCCTCCAGTCCCCTGTCCGGAATTGCGGGACCCCTCCCGCACTATTCCGCCACCCCAGGTCCACAACTTCGGGGACCCCTTCGCAGCCTCCTCCAACGCCGGGTCCAGAACTTCGGGCACCTCCCGCGCGGGCGGTCCCGCCCGGACCCCGACTCCGGAACTCCGCGACCCCCGCGCTCCCCAGCCCCGGAACGCGGGGTCCCCGCACGGCCCCCCAGGCCCCGACTCCGGAACTCCGGGCCCCCCGCGCCCCGCCGCGTCCCCGGGACGCGAGGCCCCCGCGCTCCGGCGCAGGCCCGGCCGGCCGGGCGCCGCGGGCGGCTCACCCTGCGGGTCGGCGCCCCGAGTGTCCGGGCCCGGTCGCTGCGGCCCGCGGCGCCCACTGCGCGCAGCCGGGCGCCCGCGCTCTCCTGCTCCCGGCCCGCGCCCTCCCGCCGCCCGCGCCTTTGTCTGCGCCGCCGCCGCCGCGCGCCGCCTCGGTCCCATCGCGGCCGGTCCGACGCGGCCGCCGCCCCCCGGCCCTCCCCGGCCCTCCCGCGGCGCCGCCACTCTCTTTTTC